GTACTCAAGTACTGTACTTAATTCAACCTATGGTCCAATGTGTGTTTTATTGCAGAATGTAGATGTTCCCAACCTCATCAGGCCATGGCCTTACAGTGTGTATAATGTGAGAGTAATTCAACCAGAATGGTGATTTCCCTTTTTGTATTGTTTAATTTGAAAGAGTCAATCAATAAATCAATAAGCATATAGCCCAATATTACACATTTTACATTTGTCTCAGGGGGCTTTACGAATACAACACCCTCTGTCTTTACACCGTCCCATCGGACAAGGTAACTCCCAAAGAAAGAAAAAAAGTAAGTCCAAATGCTAGAAAAGATCATGTGTCTATAAGAAGAAGATGAATATGGATCCAGGTGGATGTTAACAATCTTCCAGGTGCCAGCAAATAAGTAGTAAGGCAGGCAGCCTGAGTTTAGTGGCCCTTATGTAGGCCCATTTCCAAAGAATATAATCAGAAGAGGGAATCAGAAAGAAAAATAAATCATTTGGTAAATCCCTGAGATGATCCTGACCCCAGCCAGGTACCATTTGATTGTTAACAAATGTCCCAGCTATAATTTCAGTATTAAGGAAAAATCATTTTATAATCTGTAAAATATATTTAACACATTTTGTTGTATTCAGACTTTATCCATTTCCCCTCAGAAGTCCCCTGTGACTCAGCATCCCCTAGCAGTCCCCCGTCTCTCCATGCGGTTGCCCATGCTTTACTGCAGGCTTGTCAACATTTGTGTACAAGCATGTTTGCAAACAGGCCAGACAGGACCGCTGCTGTGAGACAAACACAAAACACAAACATCAATAAACAAACAAATCCGTTCACACACCCAAATCCCTCCGAACACTGCGTGCACATGCAGCCCAATTTCAAAGCACTCACTCAGCTGGCTGTCACGCACCGGTGTTTGCCAGCAGCAGCATTGTTTGGTTCATATTCAGTGCATTTCTGTGATCTTGTCTCATTATTAATAGATGGTGTCAGAGAGTCGCCGGCCTCTCTGTCTGACAAGGCATTAGCATAAACACAGACTTCCTCTCAATATCTGTTTGCACCACACTGTTGACCTTTAATTATAGATGTCTAAATGTTTGTTACCTGTCCACTCAAGTGTGTGTGTGTGTGTCTGTGGGTGTGTATTTGTGTGCTGTGCAGGCTTCTGTGAGAGGCTTTTACTGTTGTAGCTTTAAGTTGCTTATTCAATCGTGCTTTTTTTTGTTGCATTATAATACTTAAGAAGGGGCCTGACAATGAACATGAGAGCAGGATAACATTTCACATTTCTAAAGTATATGTTTACAAGAAAACAGTCAAAAACAGTTCTGAGTAAGATCTAAGATGCTAAGAGGAATTACCAGGGAATCAATTGTGAAGAAAATGCAGGGCATAAAGAACTTATGTGAGTTTTCAAAGAATCATGAGGCAACTGAAAGACTCTCAAAAACAACAAACAGTCCACCGATGAAGAAGCTTCAGTTATTAGATGTGTGTCTCAAAATGTTATGTTTTATCTTGTGATTCAAAAACGTAAAATGCAAAATGACTTGAGAAAGATGCAGATGTGCCACTATAGGAGCAAATTAACGGACAAGCAGTGTTCAAACCCAACAAAACTTTTATTTAGATATTATTACATCTAATGGTCTCTAATATGAACACTTAATCACAGAATCATTTAGCATTTGATTTAATGTTACATTATTTTAATCATATTGTTTTTGGATATTTGGATTAGCTATTAGGCAAGGGTCATTTAGCCTTTGTGACACACTGTGACACAATGTGTGCAACTAAGAGGACACTTAAGGGGAAAATGGGTAACATTAGGGTTTATTAAAATGAATAGTGCTATCAGTATTTCTTTTATTGTCCTCATGGGCTCTGTGCATGCCATTATACATTCTGAACTATTCATATTCTTCTCCTCATCCTACTTAGCTGTTAAGAGGTCTGCTGGTGTTTACATGGGTGTTATGTTTCCATCTCCCCAGCCTCACACTCTGCCCATCTCCTGTCACAACATGCTTTTATTATAATAGCATCATTCCATTAGTATTAATAAAGTAATGCCTAAGTGTGTGTGTGCAGCAGCTATTCATTCATCAAAAATGGATACAGCAGCATCTCTGCCTGCAGTTATCTGTGTTGTTGTTTTTACCCTTCACTGCCTTTTAGTCATTCCTTTTCACTTTCGTTCTCTGCTCGTGTGTGTGTGTGTGTGTGTGTGTGTGTGTGTGTGTGTGTGTGTGTGTGTGTGTGTGTGTGTGTGTATATGCATGACACATTTAAATCAGATGCATTTTTCTGGTTATGCTGCTTTCACTGTCAGCATAACCATCTTCGCCACACCTGGCAATTATTATGCAAAAATAACAGCACACAGCATTTCCATTAGGCGCTCTAATGCCACCTTCCTCTGTCACCATCCAGCAATGTTCTACCCAGTATGAACATGTAATGTCAAATTACTATTAATACAATCCTTTAAGGCTCCAACTCAGTGTAAAGGTGGTAACATGTCTTTTAAAGATACTTTTGGCATGCAATCAGCCATAATGTAATATTTCTCATTTGGTGAATATAACTGTAGGCATGTTAGCTTTAAGCTTGTTTAAATCATCTTATTCCAAATAGTTTTTATGATGTGAATTCTGTATCAGCTGACTTTCAAAACTATTAAAAACCAAGACTCAAAATGGAAATATTTGACACGTCTTTTGCATCACATTTGACACATTTCTTAAGATTTCTACCAGACAGAATTGGTACCCATGGAAATATTATGGCTCAGTGGTTTATGATGCATACCATGTTGTGCAACATCCCAGGTTAATTAAGGCTATGGATATTTGTTCATGCACACATTTTTTGTTTTGATAGACTCCAATAGATCCTTACATTAATCAAGCCAAATAACCTTAATAATTTGACACAACTGATCTTGTTTCTGAAGTGCTTTCAGCAAATTGTCACAACGTTTGTCAGTCCTGTGTATATTGAGGAGCCTGCTGCGTAACCACATGCTAACCTGAACTGTCTGGTGTCATTCAAAGCGTCAGCAGCAGATAGGTGTGATATCAAGTGTGATTTGTGTGCTTAAAGTACAAAAATCACACCTCCCTGTGTTAGCACCTATCAATCAAATATCTGAAACTCTTGTTTTGTTACCATGGAAACGAGGGGGAGGGACGCTGAGAGCTCATAAAAAGTTTGAACACAAACCAGACAGCAGCAGAAGGAAGAGAGTCAGCACTGGAGACATTTTGTATCTACTCTGCCGTGAAAACTGTAAAAAATAAATAATAATAATAATAATGACCTCCAGGAGTGTCCGTGGAAGCAGCGTTCACAGTGCCAGGGTCTGTGTGTGTGTGTGTGTGTGTGTGTGTGTGTGTGTGTGTGTGTGTGTGTGTGTGTGTGTGTGTGCGTGCGTGCGTGTGTGTGTGTGTGTGTGTGTGTGTGTGTGTGTGTATGTGTGTGTGTGTGTGTGTGTGCGCCGTTGTGCCCTGCCTGTGTGTTAACCAATGCTGTATGTATGTATACAGGCGTGTGGAGGGGAGCGCTGAGCGGGCAGCAGCCAAGAGGAGCTCTGCCAACTTCGATCTGCTAAAAAAACGCAGGGAACTCCAAGACCTGGACAACGAGAACCAGGAGAGCCAAGAAGTAGGTTAACGGGAACTAACGATACAGTTCATCCCAACAAAGAGTAGGCCTACTTACAGAGGTGGGAGAAGTACTCAGATCTGGTATTTGAGTAAAAGGAGAAGTACCAGAGTGTAGGAATATTCTGTCATAAGTTAAAGTCCTGCATTCATAAGGTTACTCAATTAAAAGTACAAAAGTATTTGCATCAAAATATAGTTAAAGTACCAAAAAAAGTACTCGTTATGCATATTGGTAAATTTCAGAATAATATTGTATGTTTTCATTATATTATTGTTGCATTGAAGTGTTATCAAAGCTGGTAAAAGTTAAACTAGTTTTGATTACTTTGTATACTGCAGGGTAACTACTAGTACATTTTACTCCAGGTGTGACTAAAGTCTTTTTTAAGTGTTGATTATATTTCACATTATTGTTCCAAATCTGTAAAGTAACTAAAGGTACATAATAAATGGAGTGGAGTATAAGTACAAAGTAGCATAACATGGAAATACTCAAGTAAAGTACAAGAAACTCAAAATGTTACTTTAATACAGTACTTGAGTAAATGTACTTAGTTACTTCCCACTACTGTGTAGTACAAAATGTATTTTATGTATAAGAAAATATAAAATACAGCATGCTTGATCAGTTGTAACTTGAACACAGTTGAGGATGTATGTGAGGAAGACCTACAAGAAAAGTCTGAACTGTAAGCAAACAGTTCAAATAGTTGTTACTTTTGTTACTAAAAGTAGGCCTAATGGATAATTGTAAAATAGCTAAATGTATAACTTTTGACACAAGTATTACAAATGTGATCTTGCCAGGGGCAGCTCTAGACCAATGTTTCTGGGAGGGCCTGCTGTGGACAGTTATCGAAGAGGCACATTATATGTGACAAAACTGAAAAAGACAAGAGTTTAACATCACTACGTTTTTAAGCTTTTAAGTTTCATACTGTACACCCTGTTCAGTTGAGTTAAAGTGTAAGTGTTACTTTATTTGAATCAGACCCATCATACCATTTTAAATTATGTTTCTACTATATACAAAAATGGATTCTTACCACCACAACATATTTGTTTACTCGTAACATGCAGTATTTATGCTTTAAAGTTGTAATTTTGTACGTGTTAGTTCTTTTTCTCCAGGACATCCCGCTAAATCCATATATTTGTAATTCCTTCATTAATAGCTCATCGTGTCAAATGCTATTATTAACAAATCGAACAGTTACCAAGTGTTGATGTTTCCCACGCAGTTCAACTTTCTGACTTAATGCTCACTGTCCTGACTTACCATCATAAATGTTCCCAAGTCATGTTTGCCTACTATGTGTGTCTCATTATAGGAACTGGAGAATTTGCAACAGCGTGAAGATGAGTTGCAGGAGAAGATTAAGAAAGCTAACAAAATGAACCTCAGCTATGAGAAGATTCTCAGGGTACAGTGAAGGACCATTTCACACACAATTCCTGTATGAAACTGTTTTAACGTTATTGGGTTCACTCTAAACTAAATCTCTCCATCTCCCTCCCTGCAGGACCAGGCTACTGAATGTTCAGAGGGAGCAGAGAGGGAGAGGAAAGAGGTTTTTCATCTGGATGCAGAGCATTAGAGGCTGGTGGTGGAGTTAGCTGAAGAGCTGCAGAGCAAACAGGAGCGAGAGCGCCAGCTAGTGAAACTCAGACCGTACGCTGTGAGCTTCGAGCGGGCGGCCAAGTTGACCAAGGTACTGCAAGGGATTCTTTTAGAAGCTAGAGAGTCTAATTTAAACATGTTTATTCTACAGGAATAGTCTGTGTGTGTAATCATAACAATTACTTTTATAATTGTTTTGATCTTTCTAAATCTTGTCTCTTGATGATGTCCTCAACGTATTCACACACATTTAATATATGGCATTGTTGTGTGGAAAAGCCTTTGTCTCATTCTTCCTCCAGGTTTATGCTTTATTTAAAACAAGTGCAATCATGCGTTTGATTAGATAATGAATTTGAATTTTGGAGTTACACTGTGTGTGTTTCTATGTGTGTGTGTTACAGTTTAAGGACGCAAAGAGCCTCGCAGATCACATGGAGAACCTTCTCCGAATTCGAGAGAGTCTCCTTCAGCAGGACCTGAAGAAGCGTGAGAAGTATGACGAGCTGAGGAGAACCCTGCAGTCAAATCAAGAACAGCATCGCCTCATGCGTCTGCAGAAGAACTACGAGCTGTCCCAGATGGAGGTGGAGCATGAGAAAGCGCGCTCTGAAGTTCTGGAATGGGTACGAGAGCTGACCCCGGGTCAAAGTCCGGCATCAGAGCTAACACCAAATCAAATGATGATCTTCTGAGTGAAATGAAGTTGTCCCTGTCCCCACACAGGAGAGGAAGTGGAACCAGATTCAGGAAACCGCATCAAAGAAAACACTTCTCCTGGGACAAATCAAGATGGCGACACTCAACCTCTACGAAATGACGTGTCAAGACGAAAAAGCAGATGAAGCGGCTGATATAAACGACACAGAGAAACAGCTGGACCAGGTGTGTACCCCAACACAGCAGAGGTGGAGGTAAAAAGCAGACAGAAAAATATACACTTGTAATTTTTTTATTGTCTCCTCAGGTTAAGACGTTCATTCAAGACAGCGACGACATGGTCAAACAATATCAGACTTCTTCACAGAGACAAGATGGAAAGAAAAGAGACAAAAAGAGCTTTCCAAGTCACCGTAAAAAAAAAGGCTTCAATGTAACCTTTTACTATGAGTCTCCTTTGCTGAGATGGAACTAAATAATTAAAGTGTGTTTATCTAATGTTAAACTCTGTGAGTTTCATTAACTGTGAACTTGTAGACACTGAACTTCAATAAACCTGAACACTGAGTGCAATCAACTATTGTCCATGTATCTCATCATTGTTAGTAACATGGCTTGATTCTAAATTCTGAAATGGTTCTGATAGTGGTAGCTAAACATTTGAGGGTGACTTGTTCATAAACGCTGTATATCTACTAGCAACATCAGATAACTTATATGGTTGGTATTCAATCCTCCTCCTATTGGCACAATGTAATGAGGACAATGAATCATTCAGAACAAAAAGCCCTGTACTGCCCCCTCGTGGCTATTAAAGAAAACAGCAATTGGTGTTAACTTATTTTAGCTGATTTGTTAAGGAAAGCTTTTCTGGGGATTTGCCAGGTCATTTAAATCCATGTCCTTACAAGAGATATACAGGTGTATGTCCAACAGGTCCATCTGTGGACATCTGCATAGTTTGATAATGTTTGCAGCAAGACATTATATACATTTAACAAACCAACGCAGTCCTTTGTGCTGTGTGTTTAAAACATCTGTTTGAGGTTAAAACACATAGAACTTCATTAAAAAAATAACATATTTAATGACAAACACACTCTGAATGTGAAGTATAATGGTATATGCTCAATAGAATATTTATATATTTTAAATAAAACATCCAAAAACGTTCATTCAGGTAGGGTGTGTCCTTGTACATCTGAGTAATTAAACCAGTCAGCGGCTTATTTGGTCTTTTTGCCTTTTCCTTTTTTGGCCTTCTTGCTTTTGCCCTTGTTTTTTAAGGCCTTGCGAGTACTGTAGCCTCTCCACCAGGCTTGTGCCATAATTGCAGCTTTGGTCTTTAGCTCCAGCTCCTTCGCCTCCAACATTCTCTTCTCTGCTGCCAGCCGACGCTTCTCTTTGATCTGGTTGCACTCGACCTCTAGGACAGAGAAGAGTTTCTCCAGTGTTTTCAGCTCCCCGTCCTCCTTTTCATAATACATTCTGTTCAAATCCAGTTTAGCCTGAGACATGGGATGGTGGCAGTTAAAGTAAATCAGAAATGTGATAAAGTGTTTCGAAACATTAGCCATTTGAGCATCCTGAAATCACAAACGGTAATTTAGGTATACATCCTTTTATGCCATGCTGTAAGGCCGTCATTTTTGTTTGTGTCATACAATTGGGGAATGCATTTCAAAGCAAAGACACACAGATTGGTGTTTTATAGCTTAAAAAATGTATAAATACAACATAAATGTACACATATTTGGATAATTGATTATTCAGTTGTTTTATCAAGTAAAAATAGCAAATATCCTCTGGTTTCAGCTTCTTTTATGTGAGGATTATCTGTGTTTTCTATTATTATATGATCGAACAGGATGACACATCTACAAAATATCCTCAATCTAGTGGTCAAATAATCATCTAAACAAACGTTCTCCATCAGGGTATAGAGACTGACCAAAACTAAGCGGAGAAAGACTGTGAGATGCAGCTGAAGGCTCCAGGAAAAAGCTTGTAAATGGAGTCTGTGTTCAGATTATTTTTGTTAAACTCTCCTATCTGGGGTCAAGACCAGACTGCATGTTTAACACCCTTAATATAGCCTCACAGGCACAAGAGCTTTTATCCAGAGTATACACATATATTTTTCCAGTTATCTTTGGCACTTGGTAGCGGCACGTTTGTCTGAAATGGTACCTGTTTTTCTTCCATTTCCGCGTCAAAAGTATAAAGCAAGTTTTCAATTTCTGTCTCCATCTTTTCAATTTTCTGCCAAGGAAAAAGAACAGAGACCGTTATGTTATAATAAAAATACATTTGTATGTTTATTGTGATGTGTTAGATACACTAAACGTACCTCTTGGATTACTCTCTCTGCCTGCCTGTTTTCAAAGATCAACTTCCTGAGCAGAATGTTCGGTTGATCAATAGCTTGTGTTTTACCGGCCTTCTTCATCTTTGATGCAGTATGCTGGCTCTGCTGGACCGGAAGAAGTGAAATACCTGCCTTACGTCTCTTGTTATCTTCCAGATAACCTTGGCAGCGTTTGATTTCTTCCTTTTTCTCAAAGATCTGTGATACAAAAACAACGATGGGAGAGGTGAGATGATAAAAGGGGCAAACATATGATGCCTTAATGAGATTTTTCTTTCTTATCTAGCTGCATTTAAGCAAGTTATACATTTCTTAGATAGACTTGTTTCATGAGGGTCTCTTTTTGTCAACATTCAATGTATTGCCTCACCTCTGCATCTTGTTGCTCCATGAATATTGCTTGTTTTTCTTGCTTTAAAGCTAGGATCTCCAGACGGTGGTTTTGGTATGAAGACTTTTGGAGATCCAGCTGATCATGTAGCTCCTCCTCCACACTGGTCAGCAGCGTTTCAACCACACAGCTCTGAAACTTCTCAAGCCCTGTAATTAGTTTGTACTCACTCTCCCCTACAGCGAGCGTCTTACCTAGCTCTGCCTTCAAACCAGAAATGGCATCAGGATGGGCTCTTGCCAGCCTTAACAGATCCCTCAAAGAATTCTTGATGTCCTTCTCAAGTCCAGCCATGGCCTTACCAACTTCTCTCCCTTGTTCCCCGTCTGACCCCTGCATGAGACATTCAAATGTCTCCAGTCTTTTTTCTAATAGTTGATGCTCCTGAAGAGCCATACTCAAGTCCTTGTCCACCACACTAGAAAGACTGTTTAACTGGAGGAGAGCAGGCAGCATTGCTACAAACTCAACTCCACTAATGCAGTTTTCCAACATGTTTAAGATGCGTTTAGCTTCAAGGGAGAGCGGCTTCCTCTGTGGCACTTCATTGTTCTCTGGAGCTTCTTCTAATTGGCTCTTTGTCTTTCTCAGCACTGTGGACCTCTTTGCAGTCATACTGTCACTAAATGGTAGGAACACAGTCAAGAATAGCAAAATATTAATGTTGTAACCTTTAGATACTGACATAAAATATTGGCTTACAATATTATCCCCACTAGTGGAATGTAACTATTTACTTCAGTACTGTTAGTACAATTTTAAGGGACTTTACTTGAGTATTTTTAAATCCAGCTACACTTCTTTTCCACTACATCCCATAGGCAAATGTTGTGCTTTTTACTCCACTACATTTTCAGATAGCTGTAGTTACAGTCTTTAAAGATCAAATCATGAAGCATTAAGTACAAAGATGATGCTTGGAGATATTCACACGCTAGCTTATTGTATAGCAAAACAAATAAATAAGTGTCTGCAACATTAAAGCCTTAATCCCAAAATATATGATTCGTTATTCTGAATGAGATGCTCTACAATAAGTGTGCCTACAGGGTATTTCTGAACTCAACAAGTAGAAACAAATCAAATTGATTGTTTCTTGATATACGGCAGCCTCAAGTAATTGGCCTATATAGTAACTATTGTGAGCATGTTATTTATAAACAGTATTTGCAGTTATTAATAGTAATGAATAATAATGCATCTTAGCACCAGGTGCAGCTCGGGGTGCTTTGACGACATGACACAGATCACAAATTAAACCAAAAACCTGGAAATTCACTTCAGGTCAAACCTTTTTTTGCACACATGCAGCATAAAAGCACAAACAATTACAATTGTAATAATAAATGCATAATGAGAAAAATAAAGATTAAAAGACCCATTAGTTAAAGCTACGTTTGATCAAATAAGTGAGCATTCAGGCTAGACAACATACTGATACTACACCTATGTTGCTTTTTCAAATGTATTTAAAATTGACGAGGATGACAGTAAATCCTTTAGCTTTTGTTGCTTTAGATGTTTGTGTATATACATATATATATATTGACATATAAACTAGTAAAGCTCTTACCTGTCTACTTGCTGGTCTCAGACGAAAAATATTGTTTACATGTTGCTAAGATACCACCGTAGACAAAACACTGGCACATCTAATTGGGGGAAAAAACATGATCAACCTATGGTCTGTTTCGAATATATAATTAATTGTGAAAAAATAAAAATACTTAATTGTTTTAACACGTGTTTTTACAACATTGTTTTAAAAATGATTGACTTTTATTTTGAAAGGTTGGCAACTCTGCCGGCTGCCCTGCTGCCGTGAAATGTTTCGGTGTCGCGAATGTTTGTTGATACCACAGTAGCCTATCATCTGTGCTGTATAGCTTTCTTTTAGTGTCGTTGATAAGTGTCAGATAGTGTTGTTTGAGGAAGGATTTATTTTTATCGATATAGAATCGGAGGACTTATTTGTAGGTTTGGTGTTATCAGAACATCTGTTATTGGTTATTAAAGCTTTGTGATGATGCAACCGTGATGCAAACAGACAGCAGTTAGTGATCCAGTGGATCTGACAGGACAACACCATCAACCCGCGGGCCCTGTCAGCTGCTAACAACCTAAAAGCTGCTAGTTCCTGTTTTAAATGACTTATACTTAGCTCTGTCTCAGTTAGCACCGCCTGAAAAGTCCTCTGTTTGTTTGCTAAACAGCGAGCACCCAAGATGTGTCTTTGCGGAACAAACCGCGCACTTATTTAGCCTGTGGGCGGATTAGACAACTCTATTTACATTAAGCCTGTTTATCTGCTAACATGGAGTCAGACGACGATGTGCCTCTCATCTTAACATGGGACGAAGCAAACAGCGGTCTGCTCAGCGAGGAGACCGAGAGAGGAGACGAAAGTGAGTTGTGTCATATCCCCACAATGCAGACAATTGTTTGGCCAAACCCATGACCGTGGACACTGGTGTTGCTAATAGCTGCCATATTCAGTGTTAAGTCACTAAGTAGATTTACTCAAGTACTGTACTTAACTACCATTTTGGAAGACTTCTACTTCCATTTTTTGAGTTTAAACTTTTACCCCACTACAATTCAGAAGTAAATCATGTTCTTTCACTCATTACATTACATTGCATTTAGCTAACGCTTTTATTCAAAGCGACTTACAATAAGTACATTCGACCAGGAAGACTCCACTACATTTCTTTAATATCATTAATATTATATCTAATGTAAAACTAGCTTCACCTCTACCAGCTTTTATTAACATCAATGCATCAATAATTATAATCAAAACATATAATATATTATTCTGAAAAGTGCATAATGAGTACTTTTACTATTGGTCCTTTAAGTATATTTTGATGCTAATACCTTTGTACTTTAACTTGAGTCATATTTTGAATGCAGGTCATATACTTGTCACAAAGTATTCCTACACTCTGGTACTTCTACTTTAACTTAAGTACAATATCTGAGTACTTCTCCCACCTCCTTATTATAATAATATAATGGCAGAGTTTAAGATGTTGGCCTAGAATTAAAGTCAACATCCCTCTGAGCATATTACCATCTTTGCACTCTATCTCCCCTCCATGAAGATTATCAGGGTTTAAAATCAAGTGTGTCCTCACTTACCACTGTGGCAGTTTACTTAACATTCCTACCTGTCGCAAAATATCATATATAAGTCATATTATGCTATGTCACAAAAAATACACCTTACATCCTTTGTATTGTGTTCATACAAAGTCATAGTATAGTATAAATGTATATATAATATGTCGTATAAATGTCTTGTGTGCGATAAAAAAAATGATGTCATATCAAATATAATTTCATTAAAAAAATCCTAATGTATGCACAAATAAAAGTCATAGATTAGTATGTCGTAAACAAATCTCATAGTGTTGTACAATGTTAAATTATTGTCTAAAATCATTTTAGGTGTCGTTGGTGTTTTATTCTGTTTTGGCTCCATTGTTTTGTATTCATATAACTGCAAAGTGTTATTTATAGAAGAATATTTAGTATTTTTGTCTAGGCTATTATTGCAGTATATGTTGTGAAGGTAAAGCTTGTCTACTCACCAGATGTGCACTAGCCTGGTCATAGCCGTTTAATGTTGTTTACAGTCAGCTGCATACATTCTGCACATCCAGGCCCTGCTGCTGTAACGGAGAGAAGAGATTGTCCACTATGCTTGGAGGTCACGTGTGTGCGTGTGAGTGTGCATGTGTGTGTGTGCTCAAAGTACGTATGGGTATCCATGCATCAACTCAACATAATAATCCTGCTGCCTTTGTATTCCTCACATACAAGCTACAAAATGACCCGTCTGAGAACCTGCTGCCTCAGCACACCGGTGCACCCCCCGCCCCTCCCTGGTGCTCATGGACCGCATGTGTGTGTTGTGTGTGAATGTCTGCAGCCTGTGTGTAAGTGTGTTTGTGTGTGAGCAAACTGAAGCATTTACTCTTGCTCTGGAGCTGAACAGGAAGAGGGGAGAAGTTTTTTTTTTTGTCCTCAGGATATTTGGTAGTGGTGGACAGACAAGGAGGAAGTATCATACTGTTCTTTCTGATTGTTGTTGGAGCTTTCTGCAAAAAGAGGGAGTTTGAACCTGGACACTGAGAACGAAGGCTGGATTGTATCCCTTCAGTGGCAAATCACTTGTGGAGTTCAGTTTAACTGCTGGTGGTCAGGACCCTTGAGATCACCACAAAACTAGATTGTATTCGTCCTACTGCTGAGCCTATTTGTGCTTCTGTGTGCCTGACCCCAACGTGTTTTTCACTGGGACAACATATTATTGTTCTCTAACAAATGAGGGGTTGACACACGGTGTTCTTCTGTCAGGATAACAGCCAGGCTGCCGCTGGACTGGAATCTGACCTTCACATCTCAGCTGCTGCTGTCCTAGCTTACAGGAACAGTGTGTGACTGCTTTTCAGAGGCTCATTTCATCTCCTCTATGTTTTATTCCAAGGACGTGTGCAGAAGCCGAGACATGTGATGCACAGCACATGCGAAGAACACCCAGATAGACTCGCATAGGATTGAAGTATGCAGCTGCTGGAAGACAAATGGAGGGATTGCTTTTTTTAAGAAAGAAACTGATTCGTACTAAAGAAGGATCTTGCTTTAATCTATAATTTCAGGTTATGAGATAAAATATTAATTGTAATTCTGATATGCTACTGCTTTTTCAGTGTTATTAGATATTTAGATGTCATCCCTGTCTTTTGAAGTAAGTCATTCTCCTTGTTGTATCATAGGATTAATTCCTCTTTTTGGTTGATCTGAGTGGTGCCTGTATCCTGTCTATGCCAGGAAGGGGACGGTTTAGACAATGTGAAATCAGTGCAAACACGGCATTTTCTTACTGACTGTATGCACGGGGTTGAAAGTTCAATCTGTGTGGCTATGGCAGTAACATTTTACTGTCACCGGTATCTCTCATTAAGGCGGTTGTAAAAGTCACTTTTTTTATAGAAGCAAACAATTGTCAGAAAATAACTTTTGAAGCACCGTCAACAGCTTTAAAAGGTGTTTTGTTTCCAGTGTCGCTTTGATCCCCCGTTTTAGTTTGAATATTCCTGGATCTGTAAGGACTCTCATCCTGACTTTGTGTCTGGAGTTTGAATCAGGCCTGGAATGTTTGGCCCTTAGTATCTCCAGATGTGTGTGAATGCTGAAACAAGACCAGTGCACTGTGAATGACACACACACACACACACACACACACACACACTTGTGCTGTGGGACCTTTATTCATTCATACAGCTGCGATACTCAGACAAACTGATCAATGGAGTGCATATGCGGACAGGCAGCTGATTCCCATGAAGATCAGACTCACAGCGGGACTCCAGTAGTGATCTCCTCGTATGCCTTACAGTTAGAACTAGACTGCATTGGTAGGACCCTCTATGTACTGTGTTTGTGTAACCCATATTGGGAACTTCATTGTTATTTTGTTCTTTTCCACATCATGTATTAATACACTGACACTTACGTGTTTCTTCCAGATGGAGGAGGAGGAAATTATGACATAGTGAACAATGCTGTGATCTCAACGCCCGGGCCACAACTCCACAGAGCCCAAAATGCGTCCTTACGGCAGAGCTGGGAGATGAACTTCCAAGAGGCGGCCATCTACCTGCAGGTACCCAGAGCAGTGAAGTGTGTCATGTGATAGTTACGGAGTGTGCCAGACTGCTGAGTCCACATGGTTATATAATGGTTTTTATTGCATCCTTCTCACTGTACTACATGTGATGGGTAAACTTTGTACTCATTCAAATTTCGAAGTATATATAAATAAAGTAGTGAAACAGGGAAGCTCAAATGAGGAATTTCATGGTAAAATCATCTTATTGTTTGTAATTCATTATAGTTTTAAGGAGTTGCACAGTTCATGTGTAATGATGTTAAGTGTGTTTTTATAGGTATTGTTTTACATTTAGTGTTTTGTCTCAAAATGAATTGTGTCTATTCTTCAGGCCTGACAGTGTTTTGAATGCGTGACGATTTTTAAAACACTATAAATTGGGCATTGCTTGAACTCTTCTTCACTGCCTTTGTTGGCACATTACCGCTACCTACTGGTGATGAATCAGTTTGAATCAACCCGCATTGACATGACATTATGCGATTTAAATGCGTCCTTTTAAATGTCACACACAGGAGGGAGAGAACAATGATAAGTTCTTCACCCATCCTCGAAACCCTAAGGCATTGGCAGCGTACCTGTTTGCCCACAACCACCTGTTCTACATGATGGAGCTGCTGACAGGCCTGCTGCTGATGATGCTGTCGCTGTGTGAAGCCCCCGCTGTGCCCTCACTGCGTCTGGACGTCTACGTGAGTAAACACACACACACACACACACACACACACACACACACACACACACACACACACACACAGCTCCCTCTAAAAGCCCCTTTGTTTTTGATCCCTCTGCAGGTCCATGCCACTCTGGAGCTGCTGGCTCTGGTTATGATGGCGTTCGAGCTATGCATGAAACTGCGCTGGTTAGGCTTCCATACCTTCATACGACACAAGAGGACCATGGTGAAGGTAACTGATCCATGATGGGGTCTTTCTGATGACATTATAGAAGTGCTGCTGGGTTCTGGTAAAAATGAGAATCAAAATGTTTTCAACTCAAAATTGGAATCCTGATTTCTCCTATCATTCTTAAGAACACCATTTTAAAAAAAATGATTGTCCACATTGTTTTCATGTAGACAGAACAGTCAATATGATGACTCGTTAAAGGATAACCTGTCTAACAGCTGATGGGGATTTCCCACAGGTTGTGATGTGTCATGTTTTATTTTTTCTTGAAAAGTAATGCAGGCTTTTCTATTGTCATCTTTGAATTCTCTGCCAAAAAGCAGACAGTCGTAAGCACCGTGTTTCGTGGTGGAATGAATTGGTAAATTAATTTGTTCTTCCTCACCTTCGCTGTTGATTTTGGTTGTGTGGATTCATTGTGCAGCCCAGCTTTAGTTACTTCAGCATGCTGGATGCTTTACATCAAATGGTCTGGTCCACTGCACATTGTTCATGACGTCTCTCCTCCTTGTTCAGACGTCTGTGTTGCTGCTACAGTTTGTGGAGGCCATTGTGGTTCTGATCAGACAGACGTCTCACGTGAGAGTGACCAGAGCTCTCAGACCAATCTTCCTGGTGGACTGTAGATACTGTGGTGCTGTGCGCAGGTACACGTACATTACATTACATTACATTGCATTTAGCTGACGCTTTTATCCAAAGCGACTTACAATAAGTACATTCGACCAGGAAGACGCAACCTTGAAGAAAACAGAATCATATAAGTACATCAGGTTTCATAGAGCCAAAACATTTCAAGTGCTACTCAACTGGCTTTAGATAAGCCAGTCCTTTTATTAGTATAAAAGTGCTTTGTTAATAGTTCTATCGCTCGAAGTGGAGTCGAAAGAGATGAGTTTTCAGTCTGCGCCGGAAGATGTGCAAGCTATCTGCCGTCCTGATGTGACCAAAACATCACACATTCACGCAGTCAGGTCAAATTCATGGCCAAATAGGATTTTCAGCTAGTTTAATGTACACAATTCGTTGTAAATTGACTTGCCAAAAAGGACATTTACTACTCACTGATGGTCAGTTTTAATCACCTATTTGTAAATTGCTTAATTCAAAGTAATCTCCCTTTTCCATGTGTCCATGATTTCACTGTTAAACCATTCATTTTACTGACTAATGTTTCTTTTATCCAATCAGAAACTTGCGACAGATCTTCCAGTCCCTCCCACCTTTCATTGACATCCTCCTACTGCTGCTTTTCTTCATGGTTATATTTGCTATGTTGGGTAAGAATGCAAAGAGAAACATAGAAACTAGTTTGGGGGGGTTTTGGTTTTTGTGGCATTATTTCCTGTTACTCTGTGTGCATTACTATCCTGTTGTCTCATTCCAGGTTTCTGCCTTTTCTCTCCGAACAAAACGGACCCGGTATGTTGAGTCTTTAGTGCCCGACATGAGTTTATCTGAGTTGTGTTAGTCTGGGGATTTTTTGGTGTCAGGTTTCTGTGTTAAAGCCTGTGCTCTCGCCGCAGTACTTCAGCACCCTGGAGAACAGCCTCGTCAGTCTGTTTGTGCTGGTCACCACAGCAAAGTAAGCACGGCCACACAAAACACAAAGCACTGTTCCAGTTTTACATACATGCCATGCAAGCAGAACTTCCTGCTTTCAGAGCTCATCATAAATGATGTTTTATTTCCCCTCACCACATTTGGCTGATTCCACAGTTTTAATGTTATACCTCATTTCTCGTGTTTCCCTTTTTCTTGTAGTTTCCCTGATGTGATGATGCCTTCCTACTCCAAGAACCGCTGGTCTTGTGTGTTCTTCATTGTCTACCTCTCCATAGAGCTCTACTTCATCATGAACCTGGTACTTTGTTTCCACCACTTATAATACCTCAGTTATAATAAGATATGGCTTATTTCAAGTGTTTTTTAAACATGTCCACTCATCAGCCTCCCTTCTCTTTCCCCCCACAGCTCCTCGCAGTTGTGTTCGATACGTTTAATGACGTTGAGAAGATGAAGTTTAAATCTCTTTTACTTCACAAACGCTCCGCTATTGACCATGCCTTCCAGCTGTTAGTTAGCCGGCAGGTAAGCCCTCACCAATGTTTATTTGGTACAAGTTATTTATTTAATATGAAGCACTCACAAACACTGTGTTGTTGTTTTCTCTGCAGAGGCCGTCAGGTGTGACACTAAAACAGTTTGATGGTCTCATGCGATTTTACAGACCACGGATGTCTGCAAGAGACCGCTTCCTCACATATAAAGCTCTTAACACCTCAGGGGCTCCAATGCTCAGGTAACTGCCTCAAACTAAAATTGGAATGCTCCTCAATGTTTTACTTTCAGTCACATGCACAAGTGTGTGACCTCTTACACATATGTATCTGCAGACTGTGCTACACTTACATTTAAACATGATGATTGGATTTTAATCAAATTAAACTTGGTAAACGGTTGTCCAACAGAATGACATATTGAAGCATGGCACCAATAGCCCCTCCTTGTGGCCATTGGTAGATCTTCACCTGTTAAGTTATATTTCCTGTCTGTTCTGCTTCAGTCTACAGGACTTTTATAAGTTCTATGAGGTCACTGGCCTTAAATGGAAGGTGAGTATCCTTACATATGTGCAGTTATATTTCACACTTTTTGTTGTTGTTGTACGTTTAAATATAAAGCTATGTGTGTGTTCTAGGCACGACGCAGTGGAGAACATTGGTTTGATGATCTTCCACACACGACCTTCCTCATTTTCAAAGGCAAGTCTCTTTTCCTCCTGTTCTTCTGTTCATCAGACCAACAAACCTGTGTCTTAAGTTCTTACTCTCAGCCTTACTTGGGGCGGTAGTGGCGAAGTCGATAGGGACTTGGCTTGGCAACTGGAAGGTCACCAGTTCAAGTCCCGGCAAGACCAAGTGCTACCGAGGTGTCCCTGAGCAAGGCACTGCTCCCCGGGCGCCGTTCAAAATGGCAGCACACTGCTCCTAACACTAGGATGGGTCAAATGCAGAGAAACAATTTCCCCACGGGGATTAATAAAGTATATCAACTCAACTTACTCTCAGCCTTCTTTACTTCACTAGGTATCAACCTGCTCGTGAAGTCAAAGGCCTTTCAATACGCCATGTGTAAGTGATATCATTTACATTCTCCCAGCTGGTCCCAGAGATATCGATGCAAAGTCTCTAATCATAAACTTGTTTTATCTTCTCTCTTGCTGCAGGTGTGGTGGTGGCCATCAATGGCGTATGGATCCTCGTGGAGACATACTCTCTGAATAGTAAGATCTTTCCTGATGATAAACACAGAGGACTGAAGCAAAGTGTTTTGAACTACAGATCACTCATCTTCCTGTCCTCATGCAGGTGGATTCTCCTGGTCCAGATTTGTTCCCTGGAGTTACATTGTTTTTCTAACCAGTGAGTACACTGTGTGCAGTTTCCCACTCACACAGAAAAGTATCATATGCTAATGAATTGGTCATAGAGGGTGTCAAGAATGACAGTTGTTTACATTCACTTACACCAATATTAACTCTGCTTCTGTCTTTCCATTTTTAGTTTATGGTGTAGAGGTGTTGTTGAAAATAACTGGTTTGGGGCCGATGGCTTATATCAGCTCTGGGTGGAATCTGTGAGTAATAACTTGGATACTGGGTCGATTGATTTACATATTCAGAGAGTACTGAATCCATAATGGTCAGAATTGTAGACAGGTAATGCCCAGCTCCACAGTGAGCATAAGAATATATATATCTGTACATTTGGATTCAGTACTGTTACTGAAACTTTAAAGGCACAATGAGAAGGATTTGAAATGTATAGATTTAAATACTTCCCCTCCACTTTTCTCTTTTTATGTTGCTGTGTTCCGGAAATGTCTTGGTTTCAACCTCCTAAAAAAAAAAGAATTAACCTGGTGCTATATCTTAAACGCGCTTCCAAGAAGAAGCTAAGCAAATGGTGGACACTGCCCATAAAAACATGCAAATTATAGTGAGCCAAGTTTAAGTGTTTACAAACTGCAACATACACATCTTTCTCACTGTGCCTTTAATGTGGGTCTTTAGTGAAAACACAACTTAAATCTATTTTAAATGTCTGGTTTTGTGTGTTTTTGACATTAATGCTCACTGTGATGCATGTCCAGGTTTGACTTCACTGTGACGTTGTTTGCCTTCCTCGGTCTGATTGCTCTTGCCTTTGATATGGAGCCGTTTTACTTCATCGTAGTCCTCAGACCACTTCAGCTGCTCCGGTACGCGCTCCGGTATTTCTTAAGAGTATTATGTACTTATATTTCACAGTTTTTCTTTATGTTTAACTGTTGGTCTGTTGTCTTTCTCAGGTTGTTTAAGATAAAGCAGCGGTATCGTAATGTGTTGGACACCATGTTCGAGCTCTTTCCCAGGATGGCCAGTCTGGGGTTGACATTAATCATCTTCTACTACTCCTTTGCGATTGTTGGGATGGAGTTCTTTGCAGATGTGGTTTACCCCAACTGCTGCAAGTGAGTCGAGTAACTGCAAGTCATTTTTCAGTTGTATCCACATTGGGAGATCTGGATAAATAGGCTGTAACTTTGATCTTCTGCATGTTTTCATACCTGCTGGCTCAAGAGGATAAATTAGTTTTTATTTTCTCAGCACCAGCACAGTGGCAGACTCCTACAGACTGAGAAACGTCACGATTGGCAACAAAACAGTGTTGCAAGAAGGATACTATTATCTCAACAACTTCAACAACATTCTCAGCAGCTTTGGTAATTTTTCTTTTCAAAAATGCTGGAGATATTCTTTGTTGGTATTGTTAAGGAATCCCATGAATGTGCGTTAGTCCATCGGCACTTTACAACTTCCCGTCTGTCTGTGCTTCATGCAGCTCATTCGTTCCTACAGATGACCAAAGACACATCACTTAAATATAAGAAACCTGAATCATTTCCATTTATTTGAACCTTTAGTTGATGCGGACTGTATAGTTTGTGCTTATTATCTTTGTTGTATTTGCTCTAAGCTGCTGTGACATTAACAATTCTTCTCAAAAATGGGATCAGTAATATTTATTTAGATGTGTACATTTTCCAGTTATCTAATTTGTCGATTTATTTCTTCCTCTTCGTTTTTTTTCTCCAGTGACTCTTTTTGAATTGACTGTGGTCAACAACTGGTACATTACAATGGTAAGATGAAGTCATTTATTGGTGGTCTTTCATCCGACCCCACTCTGCAGCCTTGTCATTGATCAGAGTGTGTTTCCCTCTCCCACAGGAAGGAGTCACTTCTATGACGACGCACTGGAGCCGGCTCTACTTCATGACCTTTTACATAGTTACCATGGTGAGTGTAGTCATTTGTGTTTGTGATTTGTGTCTGGAAGTAAACACTGCATTTCTGCTTTTATCTGTGTGTCAGTGTGACTGTGAATGATTGTCATTTTGATTTTCTCCAGGTGGTGATGACCATCATCGTAGCGTTCATTCTGGATGCGTTTGTGTTCCGCATGAACTACAGCCGCAAGAACCGGGAACCAGTGGAGAACCCAGAGGGTGAGAAACTGGTGCAAATTGAAACAAGAGAACCAATCAAAAACAATAACATGGCGCCAAATGTATGGAGCCTGTCAGGACATAGAGAGAGATGCAGAGCTATCCTACCCTCCCTGATGTTTTGGGAAATATACCAAAGGAAGGAACTCCTGCATGGCAAATCTGAATCAAGTTTTTTGCCACGTACGTTTACATGTACAAGACATTTTCTTTGGTGTACGATGTTGGAAACATAAACAACATAAGAAAATAAGTTGTAAGAAAATATAAAAAAAACTATTTAGCATTAAAAAATAATAAAGACAAGTGTTTACAAATATACAAAATAAACTAAAACACGTAGTACAATAAATAGATTCAAAGCAAGATAATTTATGTTTTGTTCTGAACAAAAACCTTCCTTATGAAAGTGAGTCATTCTGTCTGTGTGTGCTCTTATTTCTTTAGATGAAAACGGGATAGTGTTCGAAGTCGAGGTGAGTCGGGATGAGGCTCTGGCCACTCTGGAGCTTTTCAAACAGACGTGCCCAGGACCGTCCTCCCTCAGCTCTCTACAGGGAGTCCTACAGGCCATGGACAGGGGAGGGGTAAGAAAACACACACACACCACATGTTTTACTCCTTCTCCTCACATGAAGTCCCACTAACCAGCCCTCCCTCCTGCTTTGCTGTGCACAGCATACGTCTCTGGTGTACCTGGGCCGCAGGTCTAGGACCAAGAGTGACCTAAGCATGAAAATGTACGAGGAGGAGATACAGGTAAGAAACTGAAGAAATAATTCAGATGAAAAACTGTGTCCCATTGCTTTTCCTTACCAACTTTCTTTTATCTCAATGGACAAGTAATAATAGTAACAGTAATCTGACTGCACTTACACTAGGCTACGTGATTATGATAGTCGTTATAGACTTTGGTCTGCCATCTCCTTTAAAAATGTTGCTGCTACAAGGAATTGTGGGACAGAATTATCTCCTTATCTTTCATAAACGATGGGCCACTGGATCCCTATGCTAAGAGAACAATTCACTATGTAGGGAACTTTTCTAACCAAAAAAAATCTCCTTACCTTCTGTACGTCTCGTTTCAGCAAGAGTGGTATGCAGAGTATTCGAGGGAAAACCTGCCTGAGTTGGACCAAAGCCCGGGTCAGGATCTGGACAGTCCCGTCTCTGACCCGTCTTCCTTCCCCGAGCCTCAGCTCAATGCACAGACTGGACTTCACAGCGTCAACTAACACATAGTTAGCAAGCAGTACTGTACATACACAGCACCATCTCAGTGTTTTCAAATGCAGAGGAGCTCCCATCACTCCAGGTCTTTTCCAGTTCCCCCACTCGCTCTATTTGCCACAGTGGGAAACTAGTCCGGGGCCTTTTGGACTGACGTGAGAGGGAGACGAGTTGATAAAGACAGAAAGACAGCAGTGCTGGTCTGTTGCTGGACCAGTGAAGCGTTGATGTCCTTTTCAAAGACTGATATTACGTATACTGCTGAAGGCCATTTGTGACCTCCTGAAAATCCTGTAGTGCTTAAACCCCGATGCCTTAGTTAAGTGGCTCCTCTGATCAGTATCAACAGACACTACATTTAAGTTCTCTTAAGACCAAAAGTACAAACAATCCTTTTAGCTCAACCCAATGCAACAATAACAGTGTATCTCCTAACTAATGTTAAACGGATTCAAAGTATTTTCTATAACTTCTTATTCTGTGATGTGTTTCAGTTAGTAAGAAGGGATTTTGTTTGAGTTATGTGCATTTATGTATTTTTGCTGTACTATCATATGGCTGGTAACTGCTAATTGACCTACAATGTATCATATAACACAGACCAGCATAGCATTACCACGACCTGTAAAACACATACCAAACCAAAATTATTTAATGCCCGTATAGCCGTTTTGTACAAGGTCATTTTAACATTTTGATTCTCAGTATATTTGACAAATTCACAATGTTTTAAAGTATACATTTTTACAACCTGTGTTTTCATTCTGGACTCCCAAAGTGCCAGATCCAGTCAGCACAAACAAAACATTTAATAAAAGGCACAGTGTAATAATTTCAGCTCTCCCTGAGCAGAGAAGTCTCAGTCTTATTGATTTGCCAGTTTGGCATGTGCAGGTTTCTGTTGTTGAATGAATACAGATTTCACATTATGCCCAGCAGAGGCGAATCTGTTCCAGTGTGTCATTTTGCTTTACTGAAGTCAGATCTACACAAAGTGTATCTTTCCAAACTCTGTAAGCAGCGCAATGATAAGGAAGATCGCGTAGAAGACGAGGAGAAAAATCCCGTAGTTTCGACCCAAGTGGAACTGGCTCATAGGAACGATGACGAAGGACAGAACCAAAGACAAACCCAGCGATGCTGCAAGAACCCACGTCAAACCATCTGTTTCAAACTGAGGAGGAGAAAGAGACAAAGGTTGTTAGATCCAATAGAAAGTCTTTGCATCTTAATGGTTTGTGTTTAAAAAAAAACTATGAACTCCTGTGATTACCTGCACATCATTGTGTGTTTCAACCATCTGCATCAGACCTCCTAAACCAACTCCAAGCAGCATGTCTGAAGGGAAAACAGTCAAGGAGCATTTATTCCCAACCATCTTTACACATACTGTATGTGATGTCTTTAGATTGATAGACGATCTCTTATAAAAAAAGGATACTGAAAATGATGCCTCCAAAGCAGGCAGAAATGGCCATCCGTGGGTAACCCTGCCGGGCGATGGTGATGTCCGAAAAACAGTCTGAAAAAAGAAGAAGTTATACATAATGTGCTAAAAATTACAGTACACTCATATTTTAGTAAACAACAATGAGTTTCACCTCCTATGCTGTTGCCCCAGGCCAAAAGAGTGAGTCCCAGCACGGTGTTGCTGAGACTCAGCACCACACCGAGCATGTGCAGAAGACTGACCACTTCTGAGGCGGCTGCGCTGATCAACAACGCACTCACCAGGAAGCCCAGCAGAGAAAACAGCTGGAGAAGAGAAACACAACCATGGATTAAACCTACATTTATCCAATCTGGAAAAAAAAGTACTCGAATGATAAATAAATTGTGATGAATACATACTGCATTTATTTTTAAGCCTTGCTAGCAACATGGCTCTAGGGATGGCAATGTAATTTCGTTCAGTCACCCACTGTGAACCCAGGGTTGCCAACTCTCACGCATCTGGCGTGTGACACACGCTTTCACTCTCAATCTCACGCTCTCACGCCAAAAACAAGAATACCGAAGACTAGAAACGGTTTTGAAAACTTGTCAGGTAGTGATCGTCTTCTCAATAGAACATCTTTGATAATGTCTTCTGGCCAATCAGAATCAAGATAACGGCGTGGTGTTGTTGCAGGAAGTCCCCACGGAGAATACTTTTGCTGTAGTACATCTCTATATACATCGATACAACATTACGTGTTGATTTCTGAAATAAGACCCCACGGTTTGATGATTGATAGGTGTGTGGGCTGTCTTTCATTTTGACACACAGAACAATGGGGGCTATCCACAATGTAAAGTAATTCACACAGCCTCTTCCCTCTGTGAGGGAAGAGCAGGTTCAGCTGTCTGAACAAAGTAACACAAAGCTAAAATGGCATTCATTTTTTTTAAATATGTCGTGGAATACTAGATTTATTTATTTTTCTTCTCAAGAGAGTACCAGAATGTGTATTTTATGTTAGTATTTCAAAAAATCTCCTGGGGGAGAATCGCCCGGACCCCCCTGCAGGGGTTGGGTTTTCAGCATGTCAACTCTATCACCTGTGGAGAAATTGCAGGATTGGCTCCAGGTCGCCCTTTTTATTTACTACAAGACAAATGTGCCTTTTTATTTCATACAGTTCAATTTGGATTGAGACAGGGAAATAATCTAACCCTCACGCGTGGCGTTTCACTGTCAAGGGGGGCGTGTATGTAATTACAATGCAAATACTGACTTCACCCCACCACTGTATGGGTTAGCCCTACCATAGATTACCCAACAAAAATACTCTCTGGCAACTGCCGACCCGTGTTGCGCATGCGTAGATCTAAGATCCAGTAGAAATGATACAAAAGTAAAAGTCTGCTGCTTATTGTTCTACTAGGCCAAAATAGAGTGTGTTAATTAATATGTTTGGCAGTTTGGAGTAAGTCTGTAGATTTGTTTGTGTGTGTGTTTCATGTATAGGCCTCTCACGATAATTAATTTTGTTGGATACATTTTCCAGGAAATTATTGCGATAAACGATAATATTGTCGGCACCGTTGTATGACCGTTTTAGACCACTGACATAATGATAATATATAATAATAATTGAAGTACATCCTTTCGAACTGCTAGTCACATCCTCATGTAAATAGCAATTTATCGAGTTCATTTTTATTTATCGTACGATAAGTCAATTAATTGCTTATCGCGACAGGCACACAATAAAACAGTGGAAACAAACATGTGTTTGACTTTCATTAGTGAATGAAACGTTGTGCCCTTTATAGTCTGTGTCCAATTTTGTGTATTTGTATATATTGTATATATATCCTATATCCTATATATATGCTAAGGTCCCGCTGCTGACACGATAGCAGTCATTTAGTGCGCATATGTGTAATTAAACCCATGATATCAAAATCTCACTCCAGCCAGGTACCCAAAGTTGGCAACCCTGGTGAACCAGCCTGAAATATCTCAACAACTAATGAATGTATTGCCAGAATATGTTATATAAATAGTTTTGGGGTATGAAAAGTTCCTGCAAAACTCAACAACATGCCTGTTAGCCTCAACTGTCCTTTGTTTGAAGTGCTCATTAGCAAAAGCTAGCATGCTGACCATTTAAACAATGCTGGTGAACATTGTAAACATCCTTTTAATATTAGCATGTGGGCATGTTAGCATTTAGTTGTGTAGCGCTGAGACTTACAGAGCAGACATGGCTGTAAACTCTTAGTTGTGTTAAAGTTATAGACGATTGCATCTTCTACATTTGAGACCTGACCTGAAGGTGGCACTGAAATTAACCCTAAAAAAAGCTTCATATCCTGTATATTTGGAGATTGCTAGCTCCTTTTCTAATCTCGACAAATACTTACTGAATGATATTTGGGAGGGGAGTCATTAGTGGTGGTGCAGAAGGCGATAGCAGACAGGAAGAATCCCAGCAGGAGCATCAGCAGCCAGACGGGAAACTGCCCTTGGATCAAATAATCTGCATCTAGACATTAGTTGAGGAACACATGAAGACTTCAATAAACAAAACTACAATGGCAGGCTAATGATTTAACCGTATATTTGATCTTATTATGGCTGCTTCAGTATGTCATGCTGCTCTTACAGGCCCCAGACTGGAAGGTGAGCAGACAGGCCAGAGGAGCGGTGGTCAGATGGAGGCAGTTCAGCGGGCGTCTCCAGTTCCTGTCTTCTTTATCGGGGTCGACCACAGGGATGCAGAGCAGCAGCACCACCTCTAGGGGCGTCTGATTAGAGTTTTAAATAGACTTTAACTCATTTTACTTGGTGTACTTGTTGCGGCTGTAGTAATCCAAAAAAAGTGCCGCGAGGGACTAAACAAGAGAAAAACATTGTCTGACGCGCAAGAAAATAATCTATCCACTGGTATGTGTTTGACCTTTTATTTGCAAACGAAACAAGCAAAAATACAATTGTTTCTAGTCCATATCGAGAATGCGATTGCGTACAAAAATGTTCCTTCCCCAGCTCAATCCCCCTCCATTTAAGACAAAGTGCGCAGGTAAGAGCAACCGGATAAAACCTCAAACGTCACCACCCAAATCCAAAAGACACGCCCACCACCTATAGTGACTCAAGAAATATGACGTAACAAACACAGAAAATACTTTACATGTGGCTCCTACAGTACTAACCAGATTCATTCAGACATTGAGCTTCACAGCCCACCCACCTTCAGTATTTTGAGAGCCCTCCAGCTCCAGGTTTTTCTCCTCCACTTCCTGCTGTCCACCGGGTTCATGGAGCTCAGCAGGATCTGACTCGTGGACTCGGAGTAGGGCAGAAGCGGCCTGTACTCTGACTCTGAAACACACATGCACGTGCAGCTTATGGTCCTGATCATGCAAAATAAATCCTGGTGTTTATCAACTTAAATTGTCGTGTTGCATTCCTACCGTACTCCTGTTGGACGGTTCCTCCATTCAGGCAGGGAACGTCATCATCAGACGAGTCAGACGAGTGAAACTCTGTTGCAAAGACAAAACATATCATCAATGGGGAAATGTGTAAACATATTTTTTATTTTGATGTGGGTGTAAATGTATTTGTGTTTCTAACCTGGAATTTGTGCAGTACTTTGCACACTGGAGTTAATCAAACGTTTCTGCCGGTTGTAGATGAACGCGCTGATAATAACTATCAACACGTACACCACATAGAGGCCAAGGTACCCTAGGAAAAAGGAAATGAAGCAAAGTGAAGATCATATACTGAAAGACTGAAGTGAAACTGCTCTTAAAACTCTTAATGTAGGGCTTTTAACAAAAGGCTTTAAAGTTCAACTTATATTTACATTTTTAAATCGATCATAGCTCAGATCACATTTTGATCAAAAAAATCTGCACATACATTTTAAATGCAGAAATACATCAATGTTATTCATTTCTCAAGTGTTCCTGATATGGGGTCCCTGAATATTCTCTATATTGTTAGGGGTCCTTGGCAAAAAAGGACCTTACCTAACACCAGATACAAATATTTTTAAAATATGCCTCCAGAGACTTCAGAGAAACATACGGCTGAGTGAGTCTGAACTGCAATCTGAGTTAGATTTGGTCAGAAAATAGATGAGATTACAGATGACAAGAAAACACTCGCATGCACACACTTTGCATACACAACTGCATTCACAAAGGAGGAACTTCACTTTTTTTCTGGCCTAAATGTGGCTTATGCCTCATTGAATCTGTTACCGGGTTACCAAAACAAACAAACAAATGGCTCTGAAGCAGAGCTGAGGCGGTAAAGTCCACCAATGCCATGGAGTGTGTTACATTTAGTATATTATTTGAGTCAAGTCATTAGGCTTTACAATTCGTACA